TTCCAAGTTCACTTAGTTTTTTATTTTCAAAAGTCTTGTTGTTATTTTCTTTTTGGTACATGTTTCTTTTTCCACATCTAGTTTCAGTTTGTAGCTTAGTTTAAGTAAACTGTAGTAAACTTAATCTCATTTATGAGGAGCCAACTCTAAAACTGTATTTTACACCTTACAAATTGAAAACATTCATGTTTAAACAGCGAAACTAAAGCGTTATTGTTGCAGATCTCAGCTGGCTTGGTCTCTGACCACCAATGACACTGAGGATCCTGTTCTTGCATTACGCCCACAAACACGTCCTTGTGTTAGTATTTCATTTCAGATTTAGCCAGTGAAAACATATTTTTTAATAAAGTGTTGTGCAGTGACAGATCTTTTCTCTTACATTTTTCAACAGCACTTCTTGTTAAAGTGTGACTTTTTGGAAAAACTTTAACACTTCTGTAGGTCATCATTAAGTCAACCTACCTAATAAGCAACTGCTCATACCCCTACAGACAGATCATGCATGACACCTTAAAGGCCAATGCGACCTGGAAACAGATAATCTTCAGCATGGAAAAAATCACGGTTGGCAATCATGAAAGTTGGGAATCTTGCCAGTGAACTTTTTCTCAAATAAGTGGCAAAATGTATTTCCAAAGATATTAACAGCATATGCAGAGAATCATCCCCAGTTGGAGTCCCCATCCACCTCACATTCAATTCCTCTGCTTGTAGGATCATCCAATCATAAGCAAGTTGCTTTAAAGGGAGGGTTTCCTCCAATGAGAGGTAAAACAGCATGAGTCAAGGAGAATAAACTGAGGGCCTGAGGATTATGGTGAATTACAAATTTTAGAAAGCTACTACAAGCCTACAGTCCTAGAATAAAAAATATAGAGCTAGAAATATATTCACATGTCCACTTTAAACTTGGGGCATGGGTGATGTGCCAAAGGCTTTAAAATTGGAAGCAAACACTTGTCTTCTTTTGAAAGTACGAGCATGTTATTGCCAAACATAAACAAGTAAAAAATGTTCTGTGCAAATGTGAACAAACACAATCTGCCATGTTATTTAATACTACTCAGCTGTCTGGCCATAAAACTGACTCACTGCTTTCTGACTCTCTCCCAGCATCCGCGATTTATGCACATCTCATCCATCAATACTGCCAAGACCAGGTAAGGCTCTGCCAGATATAATAATGTGATACTGGGTTACATAATAGCTGTTACTAATTATGCATTTACATTTTTTGCAATCCCTGCAAACGCAGGTTTTT